GAACTTACACATGGAGTGATGTCATCAGTTCTCTTTGGAGAGGACCACCAGAGACCACCAGAGCCTGGGTTGAGTTTTACAAAAACCAGACTGTTGAGGATCAAAAAACAAGAACTTGTAACATGGGTAGTGAGGACCTGGACCCCTCACCTGAGGGGACAGAGGAGTGAGGACCTGGACCCCTCACCTGAGGAGACAGAGGAGTGAGGACCTGGACCCCTCACCTGAGGGGACAGAGGAGAGAGGACCTGGACCCCTCACCTGAGGGGACAGAGGAGTGAGGACCTGGACCCCTCACCTGAGGAGACAGAGGCGTGAGGACCTGGACCCCTCACCTGAGGGGACAGAGGAGAGAGGACCTGGACCCCTCACCTGAGGGGACAGAGGAGTCAGGACCTGGACCCCTCACCTGAGGGGACAGAGGAGACAGGACCTGGACCCCTCACCTGAGGGGACAGAGGAGACAGGACCTGGACCCCTCACCTGAGGGGACAGAGGAGACAGGACCTGGACCCCTCACCTGACGGGACAGAGGAGTGAGGACCTGGACCCCTCACCTGACGGGACAGAGGAGGCAGGACCTGGACCCCTCACCTGAGGGGACAGAGGAGTGAGGACCTGGACCCCTCACTTGAGGGGACAGAGGAGACAGGACCTGGACCCTTCACCTGAGGGGACAGAGGAGACAGGACCTGGACCCCTCACCTGACGGGACAGAGGAGTGAGGACCTGGACCCCTCACCTGACGGGACAGAGGAGGCAGGACCTGGACCCCTCACCTGAGGGGACAGAGGAGTGAAGACTTGGACCCCTCACCTGAGGGGACAGAGGAGACAGGACCTGGACCCCTCACCTGAGGGGACAGAGGAGTGAAGACTTGGACCCCTCACCTGAGGGGACAGAGGAGACAGGACCTGGACCCCTCACCTGAGGGGACAGAGGAGTGAGGACCTGGACCCCTCACCTGAGGGGACAGAGGAGACAGGACCTGGACCCCTCACCTGAGGGGACAGAGGAGTGAGGACCTGGACCCCTCACCTGAGGGGAATGAGGAGAGAGGACCTGGACCCCTCACCTGAGGACACAGAGGAGACAGGACCTGGACCCCTGGGACAGAGGTGAGAGGACCTGGACCCCTCACCTGAGGGGACAGAGGAGACAGGACCTGGACCCCTCACCTGAGGGGAATGAGTGAGGACCTGGACCCCTCACCTGAGGGGACAGAGGAGTGAGGACCTGGATCCCTCACCTGAGGGGACAGAGGAGTGAGGACCTGGATC